TTTCTGTCAACATCCTGATTACGAAGTGTTTTGAACTCTGCATCTGATAGCTTGGCTATGTCCTCCTTGCTTAGTTCTTTTTCTGGAGTTTTTATCTGTTCTTTCATATCTGTTATTTCATATTTCTTTGTCTTGGTGCACCTATTATGTTATAAGGGGTGGAGCCTTAGGAACTCAAGAGAGTGGGTGTGGGGGGCAGCCCACTTCCTTGTGTTGTGGTGCTATACATGTGGGCGGGGTCAGAGAGGAAACAATACCAGTTGCTTGGCTCTTGCCCAACTTTCAGTCACTTCCTCTGCTACCCACAAGTAAATTGGGCCCTTCCCATGTTGATTCCTGGGTGGGTCGGTTTGTGTACATTCTAGGATCCTGTGGGTCTCTCCAACAAACTCTCCTGTGAGGCTAGGAGTTTCTCCCACTGCATCAACCCCCAAACTTTTTATAGCCAGAGGTTTTGAGGCTTTCTTTTCCCACACTGGAACCCTGGGATGGGTGGCCTTTCTTGGTCCCCAGTTGTTCCTACCAGTTTAACTGCATTCAAATGTGGAACTGCCTGGTCCAATAGCCACCACCTTGCCATGCATTATCCCCACCCTGGCTGCCAGTCTGTACCCCTCCTACCAGTCTGGATGAATGTTTCTTCTTTACCTCTTTGGTTGTTGGACTTCTCTACCATTCAATTTTCTGGTAGTTCTGTTCTTTTTTTTTTAATTTGTTGTTGTCCTTTCAGTTGTGTGAGGAAGCAAAGCATATCTACTTATACCTCCACCTGGCTGGAAGTCCCTCATTTAGCATATTTTGTTTCAATGAACTGAAACTTGTCCATGAATGGCAATAACGCTTGACTCCTTGTTAGTTTAAGCTTAGAAGTTAAAGTTTTATAACAAAATATGCAAATACTTTTTATGCAAAATATGCAAAAGTATTAATTTTTTCTTATCCTTTCTAAAAAGTAATTAATTTTTTCTTATCCTTTTTTCCAGCCTAAATATTTTATTTTAAAAAAGTCTCTGTGAACCTGCTAGAGAGAAAATTCTAAAATGAAAAGAAAAATAATAGTCTAATAGGAGGGTTCTCATAGTTTGTATTGTTTTATCACTATTAAAACATTATAAAATATTTTTATAGGAAGGCTACATAAAATAGAATATTTCAGAATCAAGTTACTATTTTATACCAGTGTGAAACACTTCAGGCATAGCAAATGTAAAAATTCTTTTTAAAAAGTAAGTAGCCATGGCTGGTATAGCTCAGTGGATTGAGCGCAGGCCTGTGAACCAGGCAGTCACGGTTTGATTTCCAGTCAGGGCACATGCCTGGGTTGCAGGCCATTTCCCTGCAGGCCAGTTCCCAGCATGTAATGCACAAGAGGCAACCATACGTTGATGTTTCTCTCCCTCTCTCCTTCCCTTCCCCTCTAAAGATAAATAAATAAAATCTTTTTAAAAAAGTAATATAAAAATTACAAAATATAATATTAAAAATAGAAACAAATTAAAACTTTAATTTTGTTTATGAATTAAATCACATTGAGGTTAAACATGTATCAGATTTGTGTTACTGCTTATATCATTGCTTCTTCCCATCCTCATTTATTCAAAATTGGTCTGTTTTGATCCAAGTTGTATGGTTGAACAACCTTTCACTAGAATGGATTTGAAAGGAAAAAAATGTGAAATAATAAATAATTAATTATAATAAAACTGCAGAAACAAACTAAATGAAATTAACTTTGTACCCATTGAAATATATTCAAATTAACATGCAAATATTAGGAAATGTATATATTTATACATAATGTAACTATCTCTGCTCCCCAAACACATCGACATTATATGTTCAATTGTTAAAAATGCTAAATGAGTGTGGAAAGTGGGGATGGTTGCTTTGGGGGGAGTGGTGAGGGGGAAATGGAGACAACTGTACATGAATAACAATTTTAAAAAGATATAATACTAGCAGTAAAATTTCTGGGTCAAAAGGCATATTCATTTTTAGTTTTCTTAGAAAATTTCATACTGTTTTCCATAATGGTTGTTCTAGTCTGCAATCCCACCAACAGTGAACTAGGGACCCTTTTTCCCCACAACCTCTCCAACATTTGTTGTTTATTGCTTTGTTTATGATAGCCATTCTGACTGGTGTAAAGTGGTATCTCATTGTGAGTTTAATTTGCATCTCTCTAATAGCTAGTGGTATTGAGCATCTTTTCATGTGTCTCTGGATCCTCTATATGTCCTCCTTGGAGAAATATCTGTTTAAGTCCTTTGCCCATTTTTTAATTGGGCTGCTTATCTTCTTAGAGTGGAGTCGTGTAAGTTTTTGTATATTTTGGAGATTAAACCTTTGTCTGAGGTATCATTGGCAAATATGTTTTCCCGTACAGCTTGTTCTCTTTTTATTTTAATACTATTTTCCTTAGCCATGAAGAAGCTCTTTATTTTGATGAGATCCTATTTGTTTATTCTTTCCTTTATAACCCTTGCTCTAGGGGACATATCAGCAAAAATGTTGCTGCGTGAATTATCTGAGATTTTCCTACCAATGTTCTCCTCTAGGACTTTAATGGTGTCATGGCTTATATTTAAGTCTTTTATCCACCTTGAATTTATTTTGTTGTATGGTGTAAGTTGGTGCTCAAATTTCATCTTTTTGCATGTAGCTGTTCAGTTCTCCCAACACCATTTGTTGAAGAGGCTATTTTTACTCCATTTTATATTCCACTGCTAGGATTATATCCTAGGAACTCTGAAACACCAATCCAAAAGAGCTTATGCACCCCAATGTTTACAGCAGCACAATTTACAGTAGCCAAGAGTTGGAAGCAACCTTGGTACCTATCAGTAAATGAATGGATCAAAAAACTATGGTACATGTACACAATGGAATACTCTATAGCAGAAAGAAAGAAGTAGCTCCTGCCCTTTGCAACAGCATGCATGGAATTGAAAAGCATTATGCTGAGTGAAATAAGCCAGGCAATGAAAGACAAATACCATATGATCTCACCTTTAACAGGAAGCTAAACAACAAAACAAACAAGCAAGCAAAATATAACCAAAGACACTGAAATAGAGAACAGGCTGGCAGAGACCAGAGGGGCGAGGGGAGGGAATTTCAGGGGAAAAGGAGGTTTACAGGAACAAGTATAAAGGACACATGGACAAAAACTTAGTATGGTGGAAATGGGAGGGAGGTGGGGAGCACTGGGGGGTGGGCTGAGATGGGAGGAAAAGACAGAAAACTGTACTTGAACAATAATTAAATTAAATTTAAAAAAAAGAAAAAAGCCAAATGACAGTTTCAAATTCATCGTATGAAAGTGACAATAATTTATATGGCAAATAGAGTGTCACCAATAGCTAGAAAAATAATCAAATATTAAATCTATATGATTTTATTTTGAAACTAGTAATTTTACAAAGTGTTAGAATAAAAGTGCAAAATAACTATTATAATAATGTGAATCGGTGATCACAAACTGTCAAAAATATATCGTATAAAAACAGCTTAGTACTTTTCATGTAATTTTCTTATTTATAGATTTGTGAACTTCCATCAGGATTACCCCAAGTGTTAACTTCATAATTTTTTAAAATAATGAAGTGCTTTTAAATGATTATTTATAAAATATTATTTTTATAATTAGAAGTATAAAGAAAATGTTTACCTATTTAAAAGCTGGTAGTAAGCAATATAAAAATATATGAGCACAAGAAATATTCTCTTCAAGCTTTAAAACATTAGTGAAGAAAAATTCTCAAATTATATTTGTTATACCTTCACTTTTGAAAAATGTATACCTTTCTTCTATGCCTGAGGTAAAGGGAGATTACATGACAGATTAAACACATGTTTCTCTCATCAGGAGCTTATATTCAATTTCTATCTTGATTTTTTGCTTAAAATTATGTGAAAAAATTAAAGTTCCTAAAGATAAAACTGATTTAAGGATTCCACCGGTGACCCAAACTTCACTAAAGTGCTTCTTCAAAATCATCACCTTTTGCTTCTGTGTTTTTCGTTCAACATTTATCACATGGCCTCCACCTAAATGCAAAGCGATATAGTACAGAAACAATTTTTAAAGAAGCAAATGCATATTTGCTTAATTACCTAATCACAAATATGTTCCAAGAAATGATCTTCCAAGTACTGATGATTATTTATTGAACATACGATTGAAAAAATAAATAAAATATCATGATTAAAATTGACTGAAACTTAATGAAAAATTAATGTCAAAGTTACATTGGAAATAGAGAGAAAATCACACATTCCTTAATTATCAATAGAAGAAAAAAAGCCACAGCTTTTAGGAATAGTATACCAATTGCTTGATTTATTACTAAAATGATCCTTGGCTTAATATTTATAAGTTGTGAATATTACAAAATAAGTCATCTTTGGTAGCAAATTGAATATACTACAAAAATAACTTCCAAATTAACTGGTTTTAATAAATAAATACAAAACCAACAAACAGTACTCTTAATAATCTCATAAATCAAGGAAATATTAAAAACATTAAATCAGACCCTTTTATAAAGTTTATACTTTCTTTATTACTTATCATTGAGAATACTAAAGAAAATGCCTTTATAAAGTACCCTAAAATATGTTTAAAGACATACATCACTAATTAATTATGACTAATTGTGGTTAGTCCCAAAATGCAAAATTAATATTAAAAAAATCAATGCAACTTCCATGTTAATAGAATAATTGATGAAATCCACATAATCATATTAATAAATTAAAATATTTTAACAAAATTCTATACCCAGTGCTCAGCAAGCTAGAAACAGAGGAGAATTTTTAAATCTGATAAAGTTTGTCAATGAAACAACCCACAATTCATGTCATAATTATGAACATGGTGAAAGACTAAATGTTCCATCTCTACAAATGGAAAAGCAGAAATTAAGCCTACTCTCATTATTCCTATACAATGTAAAGTTGAAGGTACCAGCCAGTGAATTAAATCAGAAAAAGGAAATATCACTTGTGTCTGTTTTTGCTTAACTTGTGGTCAAAGACTACATACAGGTATGGAAAACAAATCCTCTTTTGCAACCCAAGCTCATTGTTTGGTATGAGTTTTGATACATAGACAAAGGAACATGATACCTAAACAAGAAAAAAGAAAAAAAAAAGAAAAGAAAATCTATACAACTCACTTGAAAAGGAAGAAGCAACACTGTTTTTATTCATTTGATTGTGAATATGGAGGAAATGCCAAAGAATCTATAGAAAGCCTACTAGAATTAAAAAGTAATTTTAAAAAGTAAGGTCATATAATGAAAGACCATTATAAAAATCATATTTGTTATTATATGGCAATAAATATTTGTAACATGAAATTTTAAAAATGACCTTAACATAGTAGTGAAACATAATTAGGAATAATGTGAACAGACACATAGAGAACCTCTACACTTAAAAACTGCAACACATGGCTGAGAGATGTTACTGAAGACCTAGACCTAATTTACTGTAGAAGTACATCAAGTTTACGGACCAACAATCCAATACTAATTTATTTGTTCTCATGAAAATGATCCATAGATTCAGAGAAATTCCAAACAAAATCCAAGCAGAGCTTTCTTGAGGAAATTGGCAAGTTGATTCTATAATTTATACCAAAATGTAAAAAACCTTGAAGAGCCAACATAAATTTGAAACAATAATAAGTTTGGAGAATTTATATCACCTTATTATGATACTTTTAAACTGTCTGGTGTTTCTGTATAAAACAACATTTGTAGAATAAAATAATGTACACAGATCCTGAGAGGTATGAACATATGTCCAATTGGCTTTGTGCAAATGTCCCAAGGTGTTTTAATGGAGGAAAGAATGATGTTCTGTAACAAACTGTGCTAGAATAAAATGAGTGCTGTAATGGAAAAAGAGAACTCCCAACCTTTATACCAGGACATGCACAAATGTTAACTTAAGATAAATTCTAGAGCTAAATGTAAATAAAACTATAAATATTGAATAAAAACAGGAAAACATTTTTACAGCCTTGGTATAGTCAAAGATACCCTATGCAGAAAACCATAAGAACTAACCATTAAAGAAAACAACTGATAAATAGAACTTCCAAGTTCAAAACTTTCATCTTTACCATTTTGCTATTAAAATAATTAAAAGGAAGTCACCAACTTAGAAAAACTATTCATAATTCCTATATATGACACTGGGTATATATCCAGAATTGATAAAATGATAATGAATTTTTACTATTCAATAGAAAATGTCATATCTTCTACCACACATTCACCCACACTAACAAATAGTAATTAAGGTTACTAATTAAGTCAGTCAAAAGAGTAACTATCCTGTTTGATCTGACCTATGTAGATGTTCTGTAAATGGGACTGGACTTTCCTCTAGTTAAAAAGATGGGATGTATGATACTCTTATCACTGGATTTATAGGTTAAAGGGAGCAAGACAGCCAGGATATGAGAACAACTCTAATGCAACCTCTGGCCAACAACCAGCAAGAAACCAGGGTCCTTAATCTTACAACTAACTCTAAGGAATTGAATAATTTGGCAGTAATCTGTGTGAGTTTAGACAAGACTCACAAGTTCCAGATGGAAATGTAGCTACCCGACATAATTATTTCAGCTTTATGAGATGCTGAGCAAAGAATACTCTAAAGCCCTACCCAGATTTCTGAATATAGAAGCATGAGATAGTGAATTTGTGTTGTTCTAAGTCACTTAGTTTGTGGTAATATGTCACACAGCAATGAGAAAGCTAATAGCTGTGTTTGATTAACCTTTGTGTGAAGTGTGATTATAGCTCATGATGAGTATTCACTTCTCCTCTCAGTATTTTCCTTCAACCTCATAGATACAGATGATGACATTGCATTTGTACACATGACCAATGAGAAGCTCACCTGCAAACATGAATATACTAAAACTAATTTGTGAGAACACCATATTTTTATGTGAAGAATTTAAAATGTTGACTTTAGAATCCTTGATTTCTTAATAACAGAGATATAACTTAAAAACATATAAAGAAAATATACTTATAGGATCATTATTATAATTAAGAGTTACCGTACTACAAAGAAAACTGGGAAGTATGCTTGACCATATGCAGTAAAAGCTGAAGTTTACAAAGTCAGTCTGCTGAGAGAAGAATGAAAGACAAAAATATGTAAAGAAAACAGAACTATGGCCATGTGGGCCCAGAAAGGGACAGAGAATTTTCACAGCCATGATGGTTTCTCTGCTGCACTTCCTACAATGTTTTGTTGCATAGGGGGTCTATTTTCCTCTTCACTATTCTCTAATAATAAGCATACTGTACCCTTTAAATAAGTTATTTTGAATGACCCTGAATAAAACTCTATTCCATGCAACTCAACTAGGTTCAGGTAAGATATGGAACTAGAGTGGGAATAGGGCAACAGATAGCCTCTCAGAGAAAGCATGGAAGAGTGTATTGTGCTGGTTTGTGTGTAGGATAGTAAATACCTTACACTCTGGGGTAGTAGTGGCAAAATTACCAGTATGGTAGAGTAAGAGTGGTGAAATTCCTCTAAAACAATACAACATTTGGAGGAACTTGGTAAATTTATGCAAAGATAGTAGAGTTTTGCCTATTTCAACTAAACTAAAGTATATCAAGAAAAAGGTAAACTTAATTCCAAATTATATTACTGGAAATATAGAAGAACTATATTAGCAAAGTGTGAACCTGTTGCGGAAAGGCCATTTTGCCTGCAATAGAGAGTCTAAGGTTGGAGAAACTAAAAACAAAATTTTGCATACTGCAATATAAAACCAATTCCCACTACATTTTCTTTTTGATCATCAAAATTATGCTCTGGATGACAGTTTCGGATCAGGACAATTCACAGAGATGTCTCAGAGTTGCAACAGACCCTGAACCCCTGCAAAACCTCACTTGTCATGGCTCTTCTCCACCATAGCCCTCCTATTTTCTCTGCTTCCCATTTATTCAGAATTAGATAAATATCTAAGCTATCTCCCAATAAGGAATTGAATGTGAAATATATATATTTAATTATAATAACTCTTAATTAATTATTAATAGTAATGATCCTATAAGTATATTTTTGATATGTTTTAAAATTATACCTCTATTATTAAGAAATCCAGGTATTAAGACACCTGTATTAAACAAGTACAAGCTATTCAAACACACACATGCATTCCTGCATGCCCTACAAAACTATTGGCTATAGTGGCCAGAAACATTATCCTCACATGATCATATGTGTGTGTGTGTGTGTATAAACTTTTAATAGAGAATGCTTCATATAATAGTCTTCCAAATAGTCCTGAGACTTCAGTGATTCAGAAAAGTACTAGAAACCTGTGGTTGGTGAGCTCTGACCTGTTGTTTCACAATGAAGTACTTCGGGCGTGGTTCCACAGGCTTGCTTGTTCTGAGTATGCCGAGAATACAAGTAGCATTTTAAAAGTTTTTTGTTGTATTCTGGATACAATATTGGGGCTAAATTAAGAAACTTCCATTTGGAAAATATAACATTTTATACAACATATAATATATAACACATATTATGTAAATATTACATTTATATAATGTATGTATGAATATAAAATCTTTTGATAATACCTGGTAGGAATATTTAAATCTAGGTTTGTGTGTTATATATATATGGATGAGTGAATATACAGAATTAACTTCTAATGCCTCTTTGCACACAGACCTTTGCTGTCTCAGCAACAATAATCTATAAAATGTTGCTTTATTAACAGTCCTTGTACAGCCCTTACTGGTGTACAGTGGATTGGTCATCAGCCTGTGAACCAAACAATTGAGGTTCCATTCCCAGGCAGGGCACATGCCTGGGTTGCAGGCCAGTTCCCAGCAGGGGACACATGAGAGGCAACCATACATTGACATTTCTCTCCCTCTCTCCTTCCCTTCCCCTCTAAAGATAAATAAATAAAATCTTTAAAAAAAAAAGAGTCCATGTACAAAATAAAGCTACATAAATTAGCCAGGAGAAAAATTAAACTCTGGACTAAATATACAGAAAGAGCTAGCAATGACATAATCATGTCAGACACATGTACAATATACATTCTGGCATTTTATAAGGCCATATATATAATTATATATGCATATTTTATATATATATACATGTGCACATAAATATATACCTGCATATATAAGTGAATATAAGTAAGTTTATATGTGCATATGTGTATAAACTACATGTGTATTATGTATAAGTGTGTATTTATATGTGCATGTACAAGCTATATACATATAGACACACATATAGACACACGCTCTGGATTCTGATACCCTGGAATCCTCAAGCACTCCTTTTTGTCTTGAACAAATGATCACAGATATTTATGCTACACTAATAGTTTCAGAGGAGCTTACCTTGGCATATTGGTTGTAGCACTGACATAGTTTTGTAAATTATTCTTTAATCAAATATCTACCCACTATATGTGAGTATAAATTTTAAAATTAATCAAAGAGCTCATTTCACTGTGTTCCACCAAAATGACATGAGATCAAAACCTGAGGATCCTGAAAACTATCCTGGAAGCTGAAGAATTCACTCTTCACTTCAGTTCACACACTGAGAAATAAAGCCTCAGAGCACCAAAATAGGCAACTTTCTCATTATCTGCAAGTAATTAAATTCTGGGTTTGATTAAATATGTCTTCACTCAAAAATAAGTAAAACAAAACTAAAAAAAACAAAAAAGCAACATGTTCTTACAGAACAATCTGTACCACAAGAGGCTATCCAGAGAAAACTTACAACTTAAAAATTTCTCTACTAAATGAAATGAAAGTTTAGGCAGAATTTACATTATTACTCTCAATAATGTTAGACTATGCAGACTTTCTAAGGCCAGGGTGCAACATGTATCGAGCAAACTACAACTGACGGAAGTGAAAATGAAGATATATGACTTTGAAAAAATTATCTTTAGAAACCCAATTTAATGTCATACAATTAATATTTGAAGCCATTAATGGTGAAACTTACATTGTAAAAAATGTTATCACTGCTAAGGAGGACAAATTCCTCCTAGTAGTAAAGGACATGTAAATAAAATAGTTGAAAAATAAAAGGA